ACCGTTGATCATCCTCCACACGTCGCTTTATCAAATCCCCGTAGCTGGACATCAGCCTTTGAATTAATAATGGAATAAGTATAATCACGATGGGTTGGTTTACAGGGCATCCGAACGGGATCCCAACCCATGGCTATATACATGGCACTTTGGAAAGGGTGTCTCATAACAATATTTCCATTGCATGCATGTAGAGTTTAGTAGATAGTACCCGGAGGAAAGGAAGTAGGTGGAGTAAAGACGATGTGATCCTCATCATTCAAGTGGTATTGTGTCCTGATTCTATGTGAATACAGCAGGTCAAATGTGGGGACAGGTCGGACACAAGGAGGGAACATTATTGTGATGGAAGAAAATGCAATTGTCTTATGTAAGTACATGTTATCAATCTTCCTTCAAACACGCGTGCATATATTTGTTCGAACGTTTTATTCGATATGTTAAAGCTCACCTGGTCACTAGGCTCAAAGGCCTTATGTCAAGGCCATTTTACGTTTTGGCCTTGGATTACCTTGTCCGAACAGGACCTCCTTCCACACCGGCTTTAGTATACAAACAGACATTCTCATACGGGACGGGGTGGCGTTGCGCTTTTTTTTTTATTAATACGCCCAATGAGCAGCCCATGAGAGCAAAGAAGGGCAATACGTCACACACTTGTTACACTAGGTCGCCAATTTACATGTCAAGGCCGATAGTCATTCCTCGTGGTAAGAATAGTAATTACGCTTTTGTTTGTTTGTTTGTTTGCTTTTTAACGCCGCACTCATCAATACTCCAGCTATATGACGGCGGTACGTAAAAGGTCGAGTCTGGACCATACAATTCAGTGATTCATGTCATGAGCATAGATCCACGAAATTGGGATACGATGACATGCATCAACCAAGTCAGCGGTCGCCTCTTACGACAAGCATAGGCGGCCTTTACGGCAAACATGGGTTACTGAATACCTATTTTTAACCCTTATCTTCACGGGGCGGTTAGAATACGTCCCCAGTGACCCATGATTATCGTTAATCTACTAAAGTGGATTGGGTGGCCAGGACACAAGGCTTTTGTGACGTTGCTTAAATATATCAAGATCGATTAATATGCCACGACTGTCAGAAATGCACTATCCTATACATGTTAAAAACATATTCTGCCACTTCCAGTGCTGCGCCCCGTTCCTCAAAACGATCGCAGCGCCAAAACGATCGCAACTCCTATACTTTAACATAGACTTACGACTGTCGTAGCGCTACGATAGCTTTGTGGAATAGGGCCCAGTATGATAGTAATAGATCTCTAGAAATATGTAAGCGAGGACATAAGGGCCTGTGGGTCAGGATCGGTATCTTGGTTTCGTCTCAGAATCGCGAGAGTATGTTACAAGTCATACAAATATAAAGTCAACCTTCCTCTTACAACTCTCCAGCAATAATGAACCCCCAAACCGCCCTTAAGCGTATCCCAAGATGTGATGGGGGAGTTGTAAATTGTGACTTCTTGTTTCATATACCAAAGATGTTTTATGATCCAAAAATGTTAGGAAGTCGCTTAAGTGGCAATCTTTTTTTCGTGAACTTGCCCTTTAAGCCATAAATCGATTAACTTTAGTGTGAGTTTTGATATTTTATTTTCCTAGCTTATTCAGCCAATTCATGCGTGTCCTGTACATACCGCTAAGGGTAAATCTATATTAACAGATGCAAGTAAACATATACTAAACCTGTTACCGGGGATAAGTGTAGGTTAATCAGTCTTAACCAACAAATCAAACATGCCATCATTCATTCGGCGACCTCCATCAACTCGTTATTGGCGTATGTCCATTCCATTGTAAAATAATCCCATGCTTTTAGAGACGCACTAGAAATAATTACATAGCGTTTCTACCAATTTACCTGAAGTGTTTACACAGTGACTGCTGGCGAGGTTGTTCCACGACAAACGCAGTACAGTTTAGTACATGTGCCATTGACAACATCCACAGAGACTCATGTCCCCTTGGTACACAGCAGAGGTCACTCACGTCAGCCTGTTGTGTCTGGAGCATAGGCAGCTATTACACTGATGTTTTCCCTCAAACTCTGGAAGTCCTAAAGCTATACAGCAGCTTCACTTTTCATGTAGTACCCCGTGTTATACCATATCCCTACAATGGCTATCGAATGAGGCTGCTAATGTGAATCGAATGGTCGGTCAGCTTGGGTCGTTGTTCATAATATCAGTCAGTGGTTTGTCTAATCAAGACTCATAAAGACCTTCTAGTAACAGATAACACATGAATATAAGGGCAGCACTCTAGTAATAAGGCATCTCTAATGCGGGCTTTGAAAATTTTCTGAAAATGAACTCTGAGTCTTAATTGAAGAAATGCGGCAATGAAGGAGTCAGTTTTCTCGTTCAAGTCATTGTAAATTTTGAGGTGTACAAATAGTGATCTGTAAGACACTGCTCTGTAAATAGTGAGATGTGAGACATTGTAAATAGTGAGGTGTGAGACAGTCTATGTGAAAATAGTGAGGTGTGAGATATTGTATGTGTGTAAATAGTGAGGGGTGAGACATTGTGTGTAAATAGTGAAGCGTGAGGCATTGTGTGTAAATAGTGAGGTGTGAGATATTGTGTGTAAATAGTGAGGTGTGAGGCATTGTATTTAAATAGTAAGATGTGAGACACTGTGTGTAAATAGAGGTGTGAGGCATTGTGTGTAAAATAGTGAGGCATGAGACATTTTCTGTGTGATAATAGTGAGGGGGGAGAAATTGTAAATATTGAGGGGTTAGACATTGTGTAATTAGTGAGGGTTGAGACATTATCTGCGTGTAAATAGTGAGGCGTGAAATATTGTCTGTTTGTAAATGGTGAAGTGTGAGATATTGTCAGTGTGTAATAGTGAGGGGTGAGACATTGTGTGTAATTAGTGAGGTGTGTGACATTGTGTGCAAATAGTGAGTCATGAGACATTTTCTGTGTGAAAATAGGGAGGGGTTAGACATTGTAAATATGAAGAGGCGAGACATTATGTAATAGTGAGATGTGAGACAGTGTGTGTAAAGAGTGAAGTGTGAGACATTGTGTGTAAATAGTGACATGTGAGTCATTTTCTCCGTGAAAATAGTAAGGGGTCAGACATTGTGTAAGTAGTGAGGCGTGAGACATTGTCTGCATGTAAATATTGACGTGTGAGATATTGTCTGTGTGTAAATAATGTGCCTTGAGACATTATGTGTAAATAGTGAGGCTTGAGATACTGTATTTGTGTAAATAGTGAATTGTGAGATATTGTCTGTGTGTAATTATTGAGATGTGAGGCATTGCGTGTAAATAGTGAGGGGTGAGATATTGTCTTGGTAAATAGTTAAGTGTGAGACATTGCGTGTAAATAGTGAGGGATGAGATATTGTCTTGGTAAATAGTTTAGTGTGAGGCATTGCGTGTAAATAGTGAGGGGTGAGATATTGTCTTGGTGAATAGTTAAGTGTGAGACATTGTCTACGTGTAAATAGAGAGGTGTGAGACATTGCCTATGTGTACACAGTGAAGTGTGAGACATTGTCTGTGTGTAAATAGAGAGGTGTGAGACATTGCCTGTGTGTACACAGTGAAGTGTGAGATATTGTTCGTGTGTAAATAGAGAGGTGTGAGACATTGCCTATGTGTACACAGTGAAGTGTGAGATATTGTCCGTGTGTAAATAGTGAGTGGTGAGACATTGTGTGTATATAGTGAAAAAATGAGAAATTGTGTGTACATGGCGAGGGATGAGACATTGTCTGTGTGGAAATAGTGAGGTGTGAGATATTGTCTGTGTGTAAATAGTGAAGTGTGAGATATTGTCTGTGTAATTAGTGAGGTGTGAGATATTGTTTGTAAAAAGTAAGGCGTGAGATATTGTGCATACATAGTTAGGTGTGATACATTGTGTAAATATTGAGGTGTGAGATAATGTCTGTGTGTAAATAGTGAAGTGTGAGATATTGTCTGTAAATAGTATGGGTTGAGACATTGTGTGTAAATAGTGAGCAGTGAGACGTGAGTGTGTAAATAGTAAAGTGTGAGATAATGTCTGTGTGTAAATTGTGATGAGTGAGATATGTGTAAATAGTGAAATATGAGACAGTGTCTGTGTAAATAGTGAGGTGTGAGATATTGTCTGTGTAAATAGTGTGGGTTGAGACATTGTGTGTAAATAGTGAGGAGTGAGATATGTGTAAATAGTGAAATGTGAGACAGTGTCTGTGTAAATAGTGAGGTGTGACACATATTTAGAAACCCAATTATAGCTATTTCTCGGCTTTCTTTTTTCTAAACATATTGAAAATTTTATATAGGAGAAAACAGCGAATCTAGTTCATTTAAACATGCCCAAACTGTCCACAGTGTTTCGGTTAACAAATAGAAATCAGTTATTGCTTCAGCCCTCAAGGAAAGAGCTGGGGCCCTACTGCCCTTTAAAGAGGGGTCTTTCTTGTGACCTTGTGACTCAAGGTAACCCTAACACTGACCTTTGCATTTGAAAGAGCTTTGCTCATGTAGAATGGTCTTAAATACCCTCTCTGATTCTCCTGGGGGATGAAGCTGAAATTTGGCATGCCATTTCCTTGTGAATACATCTCATTTTGTTCAAATAAATGTGACTTTATTGGGTGTTTTTCTTTTAATTACTAAAACTATAATAAAAGCCAATGTTGTTCATGGCATCGCCATATGTACTCAACATCATTTTCCTAACTATGTTGCAAAAGTTTTGTTTAATTTTACTCAGAATATTTCTGCACCAATCATTCCTTAACTCTCTATAGACGTTTGTGCCAACATTATGCAAACTACTGACAACAAATCTGAGCCACCTTAATATGTAGCTAAGCATCCTCCATTAGTTTCAGGTTCATTTGTTACTGCATGAGTGCAAAAACATAGTCTAAGGGTGGACAGAAGGACAAGACCTGATACTTGAGTTCTCTTGGACCTTCATTCCTCGTGAGATGATAATATAAAGATAACATGGCTTGTTCATCAAAGAGCTGTTTATTCTGACTGAAACACAGAAATAAGAATTGAAATATAAACAAGGAACATGTAACATTCCCTACCTTATTCAACTGTACCATCTTTAATGAAGAGAGAAATGAATCCTGAAGGGGAAACAATCTATTTTCTCCCTGACCATACAATAAAATCAAATGAAGCAAGTATCTCAATGGTCATACTTTCCCATTAAAGAATGCACTTAATCAGTCACGTGATACATAATTCAAAAGATTGGCAGTGTTGCTAAATTTAAACATTTTACTCATGATTTAAATATTTCAAAGACAGTTCTTAGATAATTGAGGTTTAATGATGATCATTTTATAATCTAGAATTAATTGTCACTTAGGTCTGATAAAGTCTCCAAGGTCAGAGGTAGATTCAACATGGTTTAGGAGGCTGTTTGCAAATTCATCTTTGAAGAAAAATTAATAAACAACAAGAAATATTCAAACAAACACGTTTGTAAACACAAACATTACATTCGTTCTACCAATACTGTAATTCTATGCTCAAAGGCAAACATTACTGTCATCATAAGCATATTCTAATTCCTTATAGTGTGATATAACACATAACATGAAAACCTTTCCTCTCTTCAGTGGAAGATTAAGGTGTACAGTACTGCATTTTGATTGGCCTTAAGATGAACCCTGTTGCCTTAATATTGTGTTGTATGCATTTTTCAAGACTTTTAAAAAAATACTTTACAAATTTCAATTTAAATTCTGCCTTCAATTTTTGCACCCTAATATCTACCCACTTAGACGGAATCACACCCTCGTCAGTTAAGACAAGTTGTTTGTTGTGTACACAGCGGGAATATTGTTCAGTCTCAAAATCCACATTGTCTATTTGAGCATCATATTTATAATTTTTCAGTTATTAGGTACATATTAATGATGAAAAAGAGAACATTTTCAAACTTGAAAGAAAAAAATTGAATCTTTAATAAGCAAGTGTGTGACCCAACATGACCCTTTCACCATGTGTTTGTGCTGTCTTTATCTATATATTTCTCAAGGAACTTCTAATCCTTGGGTCAAAGACTTGCTCATGTTCTAACGCTTAGAAAAATGCTTCCTGAAAACCTATAAAATGAGAGTTTCACCTTTACATTTAGTTTTGCCACAAGTCTAATTATAGTTGTCCTGAAATGAACAAAGCAAAGTTCTCATTCATGTTGCACACATCCATAACAATTTCTACAGGTGTTGGTCATTTCTGAACCTATGCAGATCCTAAAGGCCCTTATCATGATACCTTGCCCTTTCTAGGATCAGAGAGAGTGGGAGAGAACCAACACACTGAGGTATTTTTTGACTATCTGAAAATGCTGAAGTTTTGAGCAGTGCATGGTGCGTTTGGTAGATGGGGGATATTTTCACTTTTTGAAAATATGCACTTTTTGTCTCGGAAAAGAGGATATGGAATTTTTTAATTATTTTCAGGACATCCACTGTCCAGCGAACAATGTTTCTTTCCTGTAAAACCAAAGGATGAAATAAGTTTTCAAGTATTTTCTGGAACAAATTATTTAAAAATATAAATTCCGAACATTCCCCACCCAACCCAACACTGATTATCAAATGGTCAATCCCTGAACAAAATTATCTTCGCTGAACGTTTTAGCTTCTTCAATGTGTCTACAATTCACCCACAGTCTGACTGTTAGTATTTAGCTAAATATAACATCAAACAAATACAGAGAATGAACAAAACACAATTGTTATGTTGCAATGTTGGCCTAAAAGATATAGTCATCATTTTCACATGATCAGACAATATCTCAGGAGCAAAAGCATGAGATGAGACTTCTGTTCTACTGTTGTCTGTCAATGCTTTGTGGAGATGCTCATGCAAACAAATGTCCTTCCCCGTCATAGCACTAGCTATGAAGCTTGAACTCAAAGCAGGTGTGGTACCTCTTGAAACATTTACCAACACACAGAGCTACTCCACAGTCGGGGCAACCATTTGAAGTCTGGTGCCGTTGACGAGTCTTCCTGTCGGAACATACAACACAATCTCGAGGTGTTTTCCATTCTTGCATTTGCTCAATGAAGTGTCTCCCTCTCATTCTTTCAGGCACAAATGTTGAGTCATAGCTATGGACCCTAGGAGAGGGTTGGCCTGTGTTGTGGTAAATCTCAATGAGCCCTAGCACAACATCGTCCCTGAATGATCTGTAGCTGCAAGCCTTCTCTGTTGATTCCTTGTGGAGGATGTAGGCATTGAACATAGCAACTTCTTTGAGAAAGTCATAGATGATAAGGTAGTTTTTTCTGCATTTGGTCTTGTTGATATACTTTGTTGTGAACTTATTCATGGAATTGACTCCGGTCATGAACTCATTCACATCGGCTACCATCTTTGGTTTCTGGACATCTTGGTGACCTTGTGGACTCTTCCTACTAGTCACCCGTTTATGAACAACCTCGTTCCCATGGACAGTAGACAAATAGTTGACTCTCCTTCGATCACTCCAAGACCTTGAAGAAGACATCACTAAACCAGTGGGTTGATCTTTGTAGAACAATACAGACTCACTATCAACCTTCCCTGGTGATTTCTGCAATGCCTTTGGAATGTCATCTCTTTTTAAACAGACAGGGCCACAACTCCCAAGTCCTTTCTTTGACAGATATAACGCAAGAGCTGGTGATGTGAAGAACTTGCCATGGTAGATAACTCTGCAAGTGTTGAAATAAGGAGCAGATAACTCTGTCACAACATCCATCCCAAGTCCATTGGATGAAGGTTTTTCTCCGCAGTGAATCTTCCAATTCAGGCACATTCCATTAGTGCTGTCACACAGACACCAAATTTTCATATCAAAATTCTGGGGCTCTGAAGGCACTAGCTGATTCTTGAAGGTCCTCCATCTGTATCTCATGCTCTCATTGACACACAGATTTTCATGTGGTACATAATTTTGTAGGCACAGCTCTTTCATGACATCATTGATAGGACGCACCTTATACATTGGATCATAATCCGCACTTCCTGGCTCGGGACACATGGAATTGTCATTGAAATGTAATATGGACCTCAGGCATATAAATCTGTCTCTGGACATCATTTTCTTGTACACTGGAGTGACATTCAAACCTGAGGTGATCCAGTACTCTGACACATCTGCCTTAACACACATCCCCATTGACATCTCTAGAGCAACAAAAACCATGAGTTCTTCAGCATTAGTTGGTGTGTAGTTTTGAAAACGGGAGAACATTGGTAATTTAGGATTCGCAGCAACAAACTGAGAAACATATCTGTTTGTCTCCTCTGCAATCCTCTTGAATAGACTAGGTGGGAAGTATGCCAGAAAATAATCTACTGGTTTCCAAGCCACTGTTATTACTCTGCTGCCTGGGACATCAGTGAACTTCAGATCTAACATTGAATGCATAGGTCCCCTAGCAGATACATTTTCACTTGATACCCAGGAATAAAGGACATCTTCCTCATCCATTTCATCTGCATCCCACTTTTCATCCTCCAAACCATCAACTAATTCCAATGCTGGGTGATCATCAGATTCATTCTCACTATCGCTATCTTGCAGCACAAATGATAAATCAAATACTTCTTTGCCTTCTGTTGACATAGCTTTTGTTATATGTCCTATGCATAGAAGTGAAAGCGCATGAGCTGAAAAAGCAAAGAAATACTGTTTATACATATTAGAACTTCCAACACATAGCAACATCATAATTATGTCTTCATTAATTAGTTAATTGAATTTTTTTTGTATTTGCTGATGGTTGTTTAACTTCTTCTATGTACATGGCCAAGTCAATTTGTCAATCAGGTATTACATTTGTATTACTTGCTGTAGAGCTCTGTATCAGGAATGCGAAGAAAACCATTCTCACATTTAAAACTTTCTTTTGAACGGCCAGATTAATAATCACATTTGATATCAATTAAAAATGATCACAAATAATTTCCCTGTCTGACTTGGACAAATGTAATATGCTCATTGACCCCTAACTGTTTGCTTCTGTACAATTCATAACGTCACCTGTACTTCACCTTCATAGCCAGGTAAACCCCATATATAGCCCTATGTTATGGGTTTTCAGACGCTCATAGTTTTCTCTTTAACCACGTTAACAACTGTAAAACATCTCAATCACTTTTAATAGACAACTTTCTCTTAAAACCAAGCAATCATCTGAGTATGTATCATGTCTGTGTGAAGCTTCAGCCCCCGTTATAGTGCGAATAATCGTGATAAATATGGCCGCACGAAAACCTATGATCTGACAATAATAAAAAACATTAACATCCAATCACATTTAAAAAATGCAAAAAGGAAAATTGAGAATTATTCTCATCATCCCCAAACACTATATTCTGACAAAATATTAATAACTGAGTCTTATTATATTTTATTTCTACAGAATGTGATACTTAATGATACAAATAAAACAAAAAATGGTTTGCCTAGTCGCTTTAGTGCCATACAGTTGTCAACTAATGTAATTCTGTATTATTTTGGCCCAGGAACATTTCTGTACACAGAAAGTTACCAATCCTGGGCGCTTTTAGTACCCCAAACAACGACCCCTTCACTGAAGGCTTCAGTCTTACAGACACCATATGAAGCATAATAAAATCCTCCTCTAAAAGACCGTGATTTTGGCCAGGTAAAGGGGACTGAGGAGCGTAGTAGTGCATAATTTGATATAGTACTCTAAATACTGTTAGCTGAGTCTTCTCTGTGTGTTCACAACTCAATGACGTCAACAAAGATTGAGATAAAGAAAAACACAACTCAAACATGTTTTTTTTCCCGTTTTGTGAATCTTTGTTTTGGCAGAACCATGAACCTGGCATCATCTAATCATTGCAAATAGGGCTAAATATTGCCATGTGCCCTGTCGAGGTGTCTAAAGAGAAGTGGGAAATTCTATGGGGAATACTATTTTCAATGAAATGTGTGTCGTCCAAAAATTAAATACAGCAATATCATTTACAAAATTTGACTCAATTCATATAATAACATGTAGTTATACCATAGTTATTACTATTTAAGAATGTGTCGTTGGTTTATTAGTCATTCCGAACCAACGAGCAGAAAAATTCTTACCCGTAATATATGGTATTCCTGAAATATGTGGTTACATAATCACGTTGATGCCAGTCGCCATCTTGTGGTTCGTTCATTCGGAACCGACGATCGGAACTGAAGTGAAGTTTATCTCGGATCTCGGAGGCACTCATCATGTGGCAACGTTCAACATGTTTAATTGGGGTCTTTATCTTTGTAGAACTTAATTTATTTGCACGATATTCAGATTTCGCCAAAGATCAGAATTTGCATGGAGATTCATGAAACATTCTTGACAATGCGCATGTTGACGCGTTTTCTGGCTAGCAAAGGTATGGAAATACTAAACAAGAAACTATATAACGGTGCGCTTCATGTACTCGCGTGTAATATTCTTCATTAAACACCTATGTACCTACTTGAATAACTGTTCCGTTCCGGGTTCCGGGTTAGAATTAGCCTTAAGCAACCAATGCTTGTCGTAAGAGGCGACTAACGGGATTTGGTGGTCAGGCTCGCTGACGTGGTTAATGTTTGTCATCGTATCCCAATTGCGTGGATCGATGCTCATGATGTCAATCACTGGATTGTCTGGTCCAGACTCGATCATTTACAGACCGCCGTCATATAGCTTGAATAGTGCTGAGTGCTGCGTTAAACAACAAACGAATAAACAAACAACGCAAAGCAAATCATCGTATCCTACTGCGTAGATTGATGTTCGTGATGTCAATCACTGGATTGTCTGGTCCAGACTCGATTATATTACCGACCGCCGTCATAAAATTATAGCTGGACTATTGCTCCACTAGCGTAGAGGCTATTTTTAGTAGTGATCTTGAAATGCTCATTACAATGCACCGGTGTATCGTTTCACCCCTAAGAAAAACTTATATGTGGTTGATGTGAAGACAGATCTGCAGGTGAGAAAATTAATATGAGTATTACTATTTATGATAAAGATAATAGACAGAATAATATTTAATAATATTTCAATCATATAAACGCCACAAGGAACGTGTGTTGATATATTGCAGTCATTCCACGGTGGCAAGTGGATAGTCGACCAGGCGAACCAGTGGTTGATATCATGACAACGACCTGTGACATCAGGGTAGGATGCGACGCAGTCAGCCAGGCTGCATAAAACGATCCCCACTTTAGCCGTTCTAGCGACATGCACATGGTACCTAGTAAATATTTGCCCAGAATTCTCACGGGAGAACACAACACACAGTAACGTGGGATTTCATGACTGACTGATGGGGTGTTCTCTTTTTTAACGTGCCAGGTTCTACCAGAGAATAACAGCATATAACGACGAGAAAGATTTCATTTCTTGAAGGTTAGGACTATTGGCTATATGGTCGATACAATGCCACAACTCGCCGTGCAGAGTTTTCGTCACTTACTCGTACCATAACGCTGATCGTAGATTCGAACCCCTAATTCTACCTGGTTATGAGCCGGAATTCGTCAACACTCGTGCATCGTGTTTTATTACAATGGTAAATGTCTTCGACCTGCCTCACTTTTGACTATTCTCCAATATAAAATATTAATATAATAAATATGCAGTGTAAAACCCTACTCACTCATTCCCATATTAATATACATGTATAGGGGCACGGGTGGCCGATCCATGCACTATATGCTGAGATGTTACGATGATCACTGGCGAGCCTGCACCACATATCAGCCCGCGCAAAAACCCTTTTGGTTAATTCTTCCATCTCACGAGGCAAGGGAGTTAACTGACTATAAATGTTCAGTTTAAAGCCTTGTTCGGCCTTTTTGCTTGACTAACGAGTTTATGCATAGTCCAATCAAAATCGGGTAACGTAATCGACATCCGATTCGTTAACTGCCGTTCAGATTGCAAAACATGTGTTCCGACAACTTACCGACAACAGATATTTTCCTAATCTTTTCATGTTTTTAATCAAGGTGCTCACGTGATTTGATGCAGTTCGCGAAGCACGACCCGTTATATTACAACCTAGATCTTAATCATCAATCCGATCGTCTTCACTGGACGACGCCATTATATTTGAAGCAAAGGCATGTGATATGAGAGGTGGAATCTGATTGGTCTTTAGGAGGGACATAACTCGTAATAGCCACTGGTTGGCGCTAAGATCGAGCCTCGCAATTCCAGCCTAGTTAAGCAGGCCTTTATAGTAAGTTAACGCCCTTGCCTCGGGAAGATGCACTCTTCCTTGGACAAAACTTTCTCCACCAAAGCTCTCAGGTATATGGATATGTGAATCAAGTCCAAAAGCTTAACTCTCTTGCCTCGAGAAGATGTAATTCTTCTTGCCCGAACTTGTATCTTGGCATAAAGATGTTAAGTCTTAGTATATAGACTAGTGTCGTGATCTGGACAGAAAATAGTTTTTACCAGACTCGGGCTTTGGGCAAGATTCTTAAACCACAGACTGTCGTACCCGGCCGGCAAACGTCTGTACAGTTCATACGAGGATAGTGCTGTGGTAAGGCCGTTTTAGACCAATTGAAAAGTCAAATTTTCACTGACAGTTTGGATATGGTATGAACATTATCTGACGCGTAGTTTTCTTTCCTTGTTGTATTTGGATATGTTTGACATCTGGCATCTACAGGAACTAGAGAATGGGTAAAATGAGTAAAAAAGGCTGACTTTACATGAGCAATTTCGTAACCCGTTTACCATATGGTTGTACTGTCCCTATTACATCTCCTTAGATATAATCTGGGGTCAAATACTTGCTCATGTTCAAAAATGAAAAAAAGATTGCTTCCTGTAACCTGTATTGAAATGAACAAAGTTAAGTTGACATTCATGTAACAAACATGACATTTTCGGTGATCTCTTAAAGTCTTCGGATCCTGTTGGCCAAAATGGCCCCTTGTCATACCGTATCCTTATAAATGTTCCCAGTGATTAAGAATGAGTGAGCATTTATGTATGATTAATCCGGTTTATACAATATTCCAGTGATATGTTAGGTAATGGATGATTCTGTATTAAAATCTATTCATTGTAACCCAAATCCCTCAGTGTTGACGAGATGATCCGAAGCTTTCCTGTGTAAATCTGTGATGGGCCTGTGTGTTCCACAATTTCAGACCCGTGGGGATTCCGGGTTAGAATTGGCCACAAAGTTCGGCATTTCACAACGTCCCTGTTTTACTCAGTGTCTTGAAGGCATGCGAAGAGACACTGCCTGCATGTAGCGTCTGTCAGCTCAGACACAGTAGAAAGTCCGTGACCCACTGAAGCACAACCATCAATTACTTCTTAAGTCGGTAATCAACTTACCTCAGTGGCGCGCTGTGATCACATATATCAATAAATAAAATCACAATCAACGGTTAGTGACGTTTCATTGATCAGATTTTCAACGCCCCAGTCGAGGGCCTGTCGCAGCACACACATTCGCTTAAGCGAATCCTTAATTTCAGTTGTATGCCGATCTCATTAAAATCAGATCTGAGTTCTCGCTATTGCTAAACAAAGCAGCGGTAGCGAAAACTAAGATCTTATTTCAATAAGATTGAGTAAATGCACAAAGTATACACAACCTCGTTTGTTTCTGTGCTTTATGCTAGTCTTGCTTGTACATGCCCTGCATCGGGTAGTTACTCGCGAATGATCATTAACATTGGGTATTGATAGTTTTCTTTGGTTATTCAATATGTTTTTAATCCCTGGAGCAAGTCTACTGGGTATTATTACACCAATAAGTGGACATTTATCAGATATAAAATTATGTTTGTTTGTTTGTTGCTTAACGCCGCACTCAACAATATTTCAACTAATATTCCAACGGTCTGTAAATAATCGAGGCTGGACCAGACAATCCAGCGATTGACATCACGACCATCGATCCACGCAATTGGGATCGATGACATGCATCAACCGTGTCAGCGAGACTGACCACCCGATCCCGTTAGTCTCCTCTTACGACAAGCGTAGTCACTTTTAACAGCAAGCATGGGTTGATGAAGACCTATTCTACCCCGGATCTCAACGGGTCTGAAATAAAAAGTTTCAGGTAACGAACTTGTATCTGTTCTTGTGCTGCCTAAAGTGTGTAACATGTCGCATAAACTCACCATAGTCTTATGTCTAATTAACAATAAGTGAGACTCGACCTTTACGGCCAGTTAACTCCCTTGCCTCAGGAAGATGTCATATAGGTGCAGTCCGTCCTCTACAATCAAGTGTTTCTATCCCCATTCTATAGTTGCCCTTGTAGAATGGAGACAAACACACTTGGTGAACGAGGATGTGCTCAATACGGCGTCAAAGAACATTCTTGACTACTAAACCTATTACTAACGCCTTGTCACTGTCGTAATGCAGAGACAGAATTACGACGACAACATCATAAACGCTCAAGGTATGAATATGAAAGACGATCTGTTTAGGTCTCCAATCAACCTGATCACAACTACAATACAACAGGGTGAGAGTCTCAAAGTTCATGTCTAATTAAGGGACGTTTGAATGACGTGCCCCAACACTGTGGTCACCATGCATTGTAAATGATATAAGAGGGTCTGCACGGAACTGCACCATTTTAGAATCGCCAGTACTGCTTTAAGAATTCAGCATTTGAAGTGGACCAAAGGTTTCTCTAGATCCGCGGTAAAATGTTGTGCTTTCATCATACCATGTATTCAAATACACCATGGCGATAAACACTATGGCAACCAGTGCACTATATTACAAGTGGTTTATTTGGTTGATTTTCCCGGACACTGCATGCATGTGAGAGTTTGGCAAATACAGATCGGCGCTTGTCTACACAAGTAGACGTTTCCATCAATGCTAATGGAAATTAAATATCACCAACTGGAAACCAGCATTGTGTCGACGATAAACAAACACCCAGCGTGCATTCCAATCATACGTCATGGTATCCACACTGACTCGGTGTAATTAAGTTGCAAACTGATTCACGCAGCGTTGCATTTGATGTACATGTGTAATATACATGTCAAAGTGGATATTCCCAAGAGTTTACCTTCGTGTATGTGAATGTGTGTGCGTGATTGATTTGAGTACAAGCAGTTGCAGGCCCGTCCGAGGACATCCGTCATATCCACATGAGATCCAGCACTGAGGGATGTGTAGGGCTGTTGCTGCCTGACGAGAGGGAGATAAACTACTGAGTCTTCATCATGGAGCCTCTAATGGACAAGGAGAACACAGGTACTGAAGTAGTCACGAAGTTACTGCATGGTGGTGTGTCTATGTCATAACCTAAGCACATATAATGCTATACGTTCTGTTCTATCTACTCTGCTTTTCTTCTGTGTTACTCATCTCTTTATATTTCAATCTATCCTCTTTGTATGTGGCTGTAACATATTATCTATCACTTTTGTTTCTGTCTGTATCTATTTATTGTCTGTCTGTCTAGTTTTATCTGTTTGTCTAAATTTCTCAAAGTTTTGTTCGTATATTTAGTTCTTCAGATCCTGCTATCCATAAAGAGCCTCTCTCTATATGTCCACCAGCGGGGGCCCTGATTACTAAATGTCCCCAGCACCCTATTTAGCACTGAATTAGGACGGGTGGTCAGGCTCGGTGACTTGTGACTCGGCGTCTTATCGCACCCCGTCAACGGTTTTCCAGCACTCGTGCGTTTAGGGACCACCGTGATGTAGAATATGATGTAGACCGCCCTCGTGTGTTTATAGACCACCGTGATGTAGAATATGATGTAGACCGCCCTCGTGTGTTTATAGACCACCGTGATGTAGAATATGATGTAGACCGCCCTCGTGTGTTTATAGACCACCGTGATGTGGAATATGGCTGACCGCGGCGTAAAACAACATTCATTCACTCACTGTTCTCTATTTCTCCACGTATTTATTACCGCATGCGAGGGTAAACCGAAACGTTCCTAGCTTCGCATATAAAATCCTTCCGAGTCAAAATTGTTCACACATGTGTTATAATATATTCCTTTCTCCTTTGATGACAGTTCGCTTGCCCCAAAGTGTTACACCTGCCATATAGACGTCTTCAGCTTGGTCTCCAAAATCACCTCCGTACGGTGGCCCATTAGGGACATGGAGTCTGTTTTTCAATATTTTGATATTTCACTTACTTTTATCGTAACCTTTTGCAAATTAACACGATTTGTCATACCAATATATGATAAATCATGTATAAAAACAACCGAAAACATGGAAAATGTACTTTCAAGTAGCTATTGAATCGCTAAAATGTGATGCGAAAATAAAAAATAATAAAATGAAAATGTCAAAAACAAAAACGAAAATGTCAAAAAACAAAATGAAAATATATGGAATTAAATTTATTATCACCGCGGTGGAAATAGTTTTACCGCGGTGGAAATAGTTTTCTGGATTTTCATTTTAGTTTTTGACATTTTCGCTTTTGTTTTTGACATTTTCGTTTTTGTTTTTGACATTTTCATTTTAGTTTTTGACCTTTTCGTTTTTGTTTTTGACATTTTCATTTTAATCTTTTTACCTTTTCGCTTCACTTTTCAGCGATTCAATATCTTCTTTGTACATGATTTATCACATATTTGTATGACAAATCGTGTTAACTTGCAAAAGGTTACGATAACAGTAAGTGAAATATCAAAATATTGAAAAACAGACTCCTTGTCCCTTATGGCCCACCGTACCTCCGTCTTTATAATCACTGGTAAAAACTCTACTACGCAGGTGTGATCTCAGTTCTGGGAGGAGGTGGGAGTCAGAAGGTGTGAGCTTTATAGGAGGAGGGTAGGGGGCAATGTTAGCCGCAACCTGTACCTGCTGCCACTGTGACGTGTGCACAGACGCATTGCCCTGAAGCAGTTGCACCACTAAACCTTCATGTTCCTTCATGATTTTCCTTGATAGCTTCTCTATACTAAAGTAGTTATATGTGTCAATAGTATTGCCCAATGAAAGCCTGACTGTCAATCATGATTATCCGTTACTGTCAAGAGTGAGTGGGTGAGTGGGTGAGTTGGGTTTAACGCCGCTTTTAACAGTTTTCCAGTTATATCACAGCGTGTCAGTTTAATGTGGGGGGAAAGCCCGGTTACTGTCAAGGAAACAGAAGCCTTCACATTGCGAGCAGACACCACCACCTTGTATTTCTTTGGCGGGGATGGGGTCAAATGTTTCCACTGTTTCTAAGGTTTGACCCTGGAGTAAAGAGATGAACGCGGGTCTCATCCTCGGTTACACTTCGCACAAACATTTTTATCAGGATTCCTTGGACAACTGGTCAAAGGAGCTATATTGTCACGGGTCGTCACCATTCTATTTTTTCGTAAGGGGCAAATAAATTCAATTGGGTGGTCAGGTTCGGTACGCATAACACAAATCAATGGGTTTTCCAGTGCTCGACTATATAATACGCCACCTTGATAAATTAAGCTGTAATAATTATTGTGACTGCGTCATAAAAACAACAACTGCGAAATATTTATGGTTGTGCCCAGTGAAAGCATTTCCGCTGCTTCCATCATATATTCATGTCAGAAATCCAGTCAGGTATGATTGTGAAATGCAGTTTAAGTTCATGAAATATATTTGAAACAATACATCGCCTATTATTTTTTATGAGTTGGTTTTCCAGTCCAGATTAACTTGCAATTTAAAAGTTGCAAGTTGGCCCAGTCATCTAAGCCGCCACCATACGCTGAGTTGCGTACCATAGGCGTGCCAGAAACCTTTAATCGTGGGTTCGAATCTCAGTTCGCCGTGATTGTGTTTCTATGGGTGTTTCAACGCCAAACATGTGATCGTAGGTTTCACAAAAGTGGTAAACGTTTAGACTTGCATCACTTCGGACATTCCTCCGACATCAAGCTGACACGCCGTGATATAACTGTGATACCGTTAAACCAAAGGCATATCCGGTATATAAATTGGATATATGTGATTCGACAAATGGTGCATCAAAACGCATCCATTGTCGATTTGCAATGTCTTAAACGGCATTGTTTTCAAACTGTTAAAAAATGACATGGAGGAAAACAGTAAAGCAAAATGCACGTGCAAGTTATGGCATTCGTAACTCGTGGTAGTAGCTATAAAAAGGCAAGCATAAGCCAATAATTTGTCATTCAATTGTCAACATTTTTCAAGTTCGAAAATGCCGAGACTCAGCGCTTCCGATCGGAACATCGCCATAGGACGTATCCAAAGAGGGGAATCGCAGTCTTCTGTTGCACGCCACTTCAACGTCCACCACAGCACCATTTACCGCCTTTGTGATCGATACACACAGTGCAATTCCACTGCAGACCGTCCGAGAACCGGTCGACCAAGAGTTACCACCCCTGCACAGGATCGCTACATTCGACTGTTCCAACTACGTCATCGCAATGCCACAGCTACGGAGACTGCAGGACGCATCTCTGGTTTGAGGAGGATATCGGACCATAATTATCAGCAACCATCTTCGCGAAGCTGGAATCCGACTAAAGAAGACCAGTTCTCGGACGGTCTGCAACAGATCCATCGACAGCGACGCTTGCGTTGGTGCCATACCTTACAACCTTGGAATTTGAGAAACTGGAGACGAGTGTGGTTCAGCGACGAATCACGATTTCTTCTTCACCAGCGAGTTGGAAGACGTGAATTCGACAAATTCGGTGGCGGTAGTGTCATGGTGTGGGGGGCTATGTCCACCACGAGATCTGACTTGGTTGTGGTTCAGGGAAAATTGAAAGCAAATCGCTACATGAATCAGATTCTTCAATCTCACCTTCTTCCAATCATTGACCGCAAGAGGGAGCTGTTTCAACTGGACAACGCTCCACCGCACACAGCTCGTGTCATGGTAGACTACCTCCATAATGCCAACATCAACGACTTGCCCTGGTCGTCGAGATCTCCAGATCTCAACCCAATCGAACACCTCTGGGATGATCTCGATCGACGTGTACGTCAATGTCAGAACACGCCGCAGACACTCCCGCAACTGGCCAACGCATTACAAGCAGAATGGCGCAGAATTTCGAAGGACAGAATTCGTACACTTATCCAGTCAGTGCCGAGGAGATGCAGAGCCGTGATTGCAGCCCGGGGCAGTAACACGAGATACTGAGTTCAGCGCAACCTAGCGCAACATCTGACTATTGAGCTCAAATTTTTCATATTTGTATCTATGATATATAAAGTTAAATATATCGACTTTATTAGGTACAATACATTTACTAAAAATCTACCTGTGCGTTTCTTTTTGTATTTTGAGTGTATATGAGTGCTTATGTAATTGGCTCACACACGTGTAGGTACAAGTGACATATAGTTTGGAAAGAAAATAGAATAAAACGGGTCTTGTTTGAATCATTATCTTTTAGATAGTCACACTGTTGTTTTCTAATTTGAACCCAAACTAAATTGGTATTGTTAACATAAGTAGAAAAAAACGTACAGATCTACCTTTCTTGGTTTATTTTTCAATCATTAACTGAAAATGTCAACTTTGGAAGTGTTATTCATGTGATCAGAAACGGACTGTTGTATATATGATACGTGTTTATAAATATACATGCATCTGCATATAAAATCTTAAATAAACAATTAACCGGGTACCAAATGTTAGACGAATGAAAAATATATATCGGGTGGTCTGCAGATTGAGTTTATCACTAGAGTTGCCTCCCTTGCATACATGGCAACTTTCCCAAACAACATGCAGGCTTGTGTTTGAAAATAGGACACTGTGAACGGGCACGGTGTAGTGCTTTGGACATGATTTCTTGCGGTTTGTGAAGGGGGTGGATGTTAAATTCCTGCAACTATTAGGTGAGACATATAACTTATGGCACCAATCCGTCAAACGGGCACCTGCAAGCGTTGTTGTTTGTCGCCATGGCTCCTTTTTATACAAATTACGATGTGATAGCGATCATGATAAGAAATAATCGATAACCTGATAACCTACATATGCATTTTAAACAACCTGTGTCACTTGATAATTATTCAGTTAGATAAAATGTATTTTAGAGTATCCTTCATTTCGTGTTGTTACGTTTGAACATTTTCTTTATTAGCCTACCATACTGGTCTATTGAGGTAGAGAAGACGAGAATGTCTACATTTTATGAATTACATTTAGGCCTATTTGTTAGCAAAATGTTTCGAACTAAATGGATTACATTGTTTTATTAAGAGGGCCACATCATTATGTTTTAATATAACAATAGACAATATGATCATGATGATGATAAATTAAATTAAAATATTATTGCCATTAACTCAAAGGCCCTGGGATCAAGTGGTCAGGCTATGTCAGTATGTGACAAGATTGCCTGTCAACAAAGCATTCAGGCTGTTGCATTTGTAGCAAGGCGTGGAGTCCTCCCACAGATGACATCCTTATACCTTGTCAGCTTGCTGACAGGGTTAACCTCTTTGGACAAGGCGTCAGACCTCGGATCAGAAGGTCCGTGGTTCGAATCCCATCACAGGAGTCTGAAATTTTATGGCCGCTACATTGGCACCCAACGTGGGGCTGAGCACGTTCATATTAAATTTGAGCAAAATAAGCCTCAGTACCCTACTATGTGGCCCGGGACAGGACTTCTATTTACTGGGGAGTATGTAGCAGGGCGTGGAGTCATCCCACAGATGACATCCTTACCTTGGCAGCTTCCTGACAGGGTTAACCTCTTTGGTCATGTGGACAAGGCGTCCGACCTCAGATCAGAAGGTCTGTGGTTCGAATCCCATCACAGGACACAGGACAGAAATTTTATGGCCGCTACACATTGATTGTTTTTCATACTTTAAAGGGGCACAAGGCTCTGGCTTCTACCCTGCCTCCAGGGCTCATTAACTGCCATGAGTCAATTTGCTGGTTTACACAACTGAGCGTGGCAAGAGACTTGACTACCTCTGTAAGAACAGCAGGAATAAACATTTCTGCACATTGGGTACATGTGATCTATGAAGATTCTGATATTACAAAGGGTGCATGTTAAAAAATTGTTTCAACCTAAACAAAGAAACACAAAGATTGGTGGAAGCTTATCAGATGCTGTTGTTTAAGAACTAAACAGCGAGTGTGAGTTGTTTTTTGTTGTGTTATGTTTCCTGCATATTCTCAGTCAATAATCTGTACCTTTCCTCCTAATACCGATTGTCATATCTCCCTCAAGCCATTGTGTTAATTTACGTTGCCCAGCTACTTCTATGGGGAACAACTCACGAGACACTCCCCTCTCAAACATAACATCATCCATTTTACAATGTCATCAAGTTGCCAGCACATGTTAGAATCTCCAGAAATGACGTCATGATAGAACAATGTTTTATTGTGAAATAAACCTTGCTTTGTTCTTCATTGTTCTTTGCAATTTATCGCGTAGCTATCTTATATTTGGAAACAACCCTGATGATTGTAGTTTGATAAAAATAACAGTATTCTTCAGTGATAGCATTTTCAGATTTCTGATTGCGTGGATGATAAGATGACTGAAATTGATTTGGATTTCTGTGTTTAATAGATTTTTATTGTGTCATGTCAATAGACCTATAGAATGCTATTAAAAATAAACGTTTGATTTATTAGAGGTTGTAAACAAAACCCCATTTTTGCCATTGCATGGTTATTATATGCTATCAGCTTCTGAGCTTCCAGATATGTCAGATGTAATCTGAACAAGAAGATATAGTCATCAACATGATCAATATCACCTGTCCTTTTGAATATGTGCACAAATCAATAATGTTTATATCATATACCTCATTATGCAAAAAAAAGGTTTGTGAGTACAACTGACAATATTACATGACTAAACCGCAAAAGGAAGCCCTCATTTGGACCTTAGTTCAACCTGTTAATGCAAAATCAAAAGAAACACCTCAATAGCAAAGAAAGAGAAACATTTTGTGAGTTATGCTATGGAAAGTATCCCTACCATTGTTTGAAATCCATCTTTCTGTAGAGGAAACACGAAAAAACCTCACTCCTGTATAGCACAAGGCACCAGACTGTCGGTGTACAAAGCGATCTTAGACCTGAGGTGATCGTAAGTCCCATACTTAAACATAGACTTAGGACAGTCGTAGTGCTAAGGTTGTGTTGTATAATGACACCCAGGTCATTGTTAGCCTCATGTGCATACAAAGTTGCATGAAGAATATTAAATAGTTTATGAGTTATGCCCCGGAAACGAAACATGACGGACAGACCACATTTCTCCATCCCCTGCAAAATTGAATTGGGTGGGGTATTATAATAATAACCATAAGAGTAAGTGTGTATGTACAATTATGTACTTCAGTATACAGCAAATAAGTGTATGTATAACTTTTGCAACAATGAAGTTCATATATTCATATACAGCAACGACCCTTATTTTTCAGGCAACTAAATTGCATATAATACAACATTTACAGCACACTTGTTGTCATCCATTGCTCATGGCAGTTAATGAATTTATTACAGGTATAATTAGTGGTCAGATTTCCAGGCAAATGTTCCCATTTGGCATTTCTCATGTATGGGGTAGTTATTCAATCTAAAATTGGCTTATAAATCCTAGTGACTAGTCTGATGTGAATGTATTACATGTTACGTAATATGCACGTGGCAGTGCAGTTAGAGGGAAATGACCAGTTGAGTTACAAAAAACATTGATCAAAGGATTAACCGGTACTACACTGATTGAGTAATCACTGTTGTCTTGCACAAGGAAGTGTTCACAAGGATTTGGCACAAGGAAGTGTTCACATATGTAGGGTTTTCTTAAGGAGATGGAGTACACCCCAATCTGGGCGTGAAGTGCCGATGAAAAAACAGCATACTTTGTTCACAGGATTAGCTGATAATATGTTGATTGATTTCTAATTATTATCTAACTCAATGGATTTTTTAAAGATCCATGGACGTCATGAATATAGTTGTCTCGTGTGCTATCTCAGCTAACCAATGAGACTTGATATCTATGCTGGAAAGTTCTTTGATGTGAGGCAGAAAACACTAGGTTTTCACAAGCCCTTTGTTTGTAGGCATTTTTATGTGACTGTCAGTGTGTAAAATGTGATTCACATTTAATGATACATATGTCTAAATGTTTCAGTCATTGTACACATTGACTGAAAAGTCTGTCCATTTATTGAACAGACTGACTAAAAATTATTAAGAAGTTCCAGAGGACTTAAAACATCACAATAATTAAAAGTAATTCTTATAAAATATGTATATCAGACAATTACAAATATATCCATGCAACTACATTAAACTACAGTTGTAACGAACTCAAAGAGACCAATTAATTTTAATTCGTAATAACTGTAGTGCGTTATAAGCATATACAACATATATCAGTGTTAGAAATTGGCACTATTCCTGTAGTCCTTGCCAAACTGTCCAATAGTTAAGGTATCATAAGGACTATTAGAAATTTCCCATTTTTAAGGGTTTTGCTATATGTTATGGTTATCATTGTAAGGACTAGTGGACTAAAAAATGTTAGTTTCTACCACTTCATATACATGATATATACAACAAATGTCTGGGACTGAAAAACAAGTTCGCTATATTAGTCAGTTCGTTATGAGCGTGTTTGTTGTAAACATAGTTTTCTGTATTTCACAATTATCTCAGCCTTTGATATGTATGTTGACAGGTCTGTGTATAGGAATACATTTGTCATGCTTGAGATCACATATTGATGTCCCTCCCTGCATGCACTGTGACTCCCTGGCCTCGGCTGTTGCTATAGCTCATATCAACACAGAGCAGAAAGACTCTGTACTCAATGAGGACACGCTGGGACACTGTAATAGAGGATTTTTATGACTGGTTGCATTGTTGGTTCGTGTTAATACTGTCATAGGCAATAGCCATGTACACCCGTGAAGCTCCAGGGTAGAATAGGTCTTTAGCAACCCATGCTTGCAGTAAAAGACTTTGCTTGTCGTAATAGGCCACCAACAGGATCGGGTGGTCAGGCTCGCTGACTTCATATCCCAATTGCGTGGATTGATGCTCATGATGTCCATCGCTGGATTGTCTGGTCCAGACTTGATTATTTACAGACCTCCGTCATATAGTTGGAATATTGCTGAGTGTGGTGTTAAACAACAAACAACACTGGAATAAGTGTTTGTTTTGTGAATTTTTCATGTATATGCACACACACACACACACACACACACACACACACACACACACACATATGCATGCAAAACGCTAAATAAGTGAACACAATGTCAAACCCCATTTCACCTCACCGTTACAAACTCCATTTTTGCTGAGTGTGGGACCCGTGAAGATCCAGTCTAGAATAGGTCTTCAGCAACCCATGCTTGCCATAAAAAGCAACTATGCTTGTCGTAAGAGGCGACTAACGGGATCGGATGGTCAGGCTAGCTGACTTGGCTGATACATATCTTCATATCCCAATTGCGTGGATTGATGCTCATGATGTCCATTGCTGGATTGTCTGGTCCAGACTCGATTATTTCGAGACCGCTGTCATATAGCTGGAATATTTCTGAGAGCGGTGTTAAACAACAAACAAGCTAAATTAAACTAAAGCTGAGTTTGGCTTTAACCAACAAACACATAAAATTGATTGATGATAATGCCAGTATTGTATTATTCCCTCACATTACATGCAACAGACTGGAATCCAGGGGTGAATCTCTTGCGCAATTTTACGATTTCAACACTTTGTAGTTTGTTTATTTTGACAACAGCTAGCAGGAGAGAGACTCACTGTTTACTCATGTGATAGGTATTTGTATTGCTTTCGAAATGTTTGGTATTCAAAGACAGAAGAAGGATGAACATTTACATGGTCATCTTGATCTCACATGTTGCTGACTGACTTCAAGGGCAGTTTTCATACCAGGAAAACGTTAAGCACTGCATATTTACATGATGTAGTGATGGGTATTGGCCAGACTCTCGGTTTGCAATTTATTGTTATCTATTGTGAGTCTAACCACAATGTATTGCATGCATTCTCTCATCAAGATTACATTTTCAGTTGATTATGGCACTGTCAGTTGAATTAAATAATTTCCCAGGGATATTTTACAAAAGAGTCACAGTGTTTGCATACTGCAATGGTATCTCAGATTTTCTGATCATATTGTCATGTTTTAAGTCTGAAATGGACCCATACGTCAAACTTGCCCCTCACATTTTTCACAACTGTTTAGTCGTCTGCCATTTTGCATCTTCCTGGGGGCAAGGGAGTTACCTGACTATAATAGTCCAGTTTCCACCCTTGCCAAACTAGGCTGGAATTATGGAGTTATATTTTGGCTGGACTAATGAGTCTATGCATAGTCCAATCAAAATCGGGTCATGAAATTGACATTCGGTTGGTAAACTGCTGTAAAGATTTAGGTCCTTTATTGCAGCCCTTTACAATTTAAGCGTATGTGTACTGACAACTTAGCATCAACTGATATTTTCCAATTTTTCCATGCTCACATGATTTAATGCACTTTGCGAACGATGATGCGTTTTATTACAGTGTAGATATACAATAAAGATCTTGATTATCGATCAGATTGTCTTGCGCAGCCATTTTATTTGAAGCAAAGGCAAGTGATATGAGGTGGAATCTGATTGGTCAATAGGAGGGACATAGAACACTTAGAAGGGATATAACTCATAATAGCCACTGGTTGCGCTACGATCGAGTCTATGAATTCCAGTCTAGTTCTGAATTTCATAATTTCAAATTTACTTGTCACTTATATAAACTTTGTCAACAAGATGAAAATATGCAGGATTTTGAAAAACGCCATATATCAGTATTTTTCAAACATATTGTAATACATATTCATTAGTAATTCAAATTGTGATATATCAGTAATAATGCCCAGCTCTATTAAAAATGTATTCTGTATTAATTTTCTGAAATAATCTTTTAATCAAAAGTAGAAACCTAAATCGATTATCTAATGACATGTTTTGTCACTGTTCCATGGCCATTATTTCAGTGCCCAAGTCTGAAAGAACATACAATGTTCATTTATGAAATTGTCATCAGACATCAGTGGTATCTGAGACATTTGTTAAGATGTGATCAATGTCAGAAGTCAAATTCTACTTGAAAGTTCAGGATATACAAAGGTTAAGAAGGCGTAGTGCCCAGTATATTTGTTTATTCCTGGTGTCAAGACTTGTCAAGGAAACTGAATGACACAAATAATACACCACTGTCTCCAGAAACAGGTGCTACACTGTCATCCTATTAATATGATTAAACCTCAGAATTTGATAGCAGTTCATTTCATTTAGCAAATAGCAGTAATCATATTAAACCACACAAGTGAGTCATTTGTTTGACCTTTTTTAACTTTGGTAACATGAATACATGACACTTTTTATGGATAACAGCTTCTTTTATTCTTTGTAACAACGTTTCAGAGCTACTTCTTGCCCCTTCATCAGGCGAATACTGAAAAGTTGTTATCCATAAATATGCATCATGTATTCATGTTCTGAGAACTTCTAAAGGTCTATCAAAGATTGTTTGATAGGCATTTCTTAGAAGTTGACGAATGACAAGGTAGACACAATTTTATGGATAACAACTTCTTTAATACTGTGAAAAGCAACGTTTCGGTATAGATCCTTATACCGTTGTCAAGCAAGACTGAATGAGGGACATTGTAGGTGGAGGATTAACAGTAGAGAATTAACAGTAACAACAATAACGTACATGAGTGGGATAACATGAGTAAGTGTTGACAACAGAAGGATAATACTGTCACAACACGATGGACAGAGAACACATAGGTGGAAGCCAATGGGACATGAAGCCAATTACACAGGATAAGTGATTATTGCTTGATGAGTTCATAGTAGGCGGATGGGATGAAATAGCCAAAGAAATAGTTGATTGATGGCTTGTGGCGGCGAATGTGGACTGCTTCTGTTAGTTTTCTTTAAGTGAAATCATGGAGGTTGTTGGAGAGGATTTGGACGTTGTCCCAGTTGATGTTGTGATTAGGACTGTTGCTGATATGGTCCGAGATGGCTGATTTGCTGTCTGAATTGATGGTTAGGTTTTTGTGCTCTTTGGTGCAGGTGTTGATGGGGTGGAATGTTTCACCTACGTAAGATTGTCCACAGTTGCAGTCAATTAAGTAAACTACACCTTTAGGCTATCAAAGACTTGTTTGAGAACAGCTGTGAACTCAATGGTCAAAAGGTATACCTATATTGCAAGTGAACCAACATTTCTTATGAAATCATTCACAATTACATTTGTTAAGATGCTAAGAATACATGTTGTGCTTGCAGGGCTACTAAGGGCAGCATCACTTTATATTCCCGATGGACGACAAGGACTATCTTGTGTCCCCTAATGGGGACGTGCCTTCATCCCCAGAAAAGACAGTTGACGCAGTTCCCCCTCAAGGAGCAGCTGTTGACTTGAAGACAGCGTCACTTGTTGCACATACTCAAGCTAAGCTCCGCCACAAAGCCAAAAAGAAGCATAAAAAGCATGGGAAAGATCGACCCAAACTTAAGCGCAGAATGTCCCAGTTTGAAAGACGCTACACTGAGCTCGCATTAGACAATAAACTTATTCCTGAAAGGAAACGGATTGATTATGTGTTGGTTCACCCAAGTATAACATCGGCAGATGTTAAAGATGTTTCCAAACAGAATGTGCTGAAGACTCAGGAGCAGAACCGGAGGATGTTTGAGATGTTGCTGGAGAAAGAAGGCTTCTCCATTCAGCGGGTGACAATAGGTGGGGTGGTGTATGTCAAACTGCACTGCCCCTTTAAGAGACTTTGTGCAGAGGCAGAGAGAGTTAAGCTTCAGATGCCCCTTAAAGACGTAAGTTTGGGATTGTCCCTCAGAATGGTCGTCCATGCTGCTTACTCTTACTCTTTATCTTTAACATGTTAAGTTTGTCTTGTCTGGTCTGTTTAACTTTCCAGTTCTGCCAAGTCCCTGTTTAACTTTCCAGTTCTGCCAAGTCCCTGTTTAACTTTCTAGTTCTGCCAAGTCCCTGTTTAACTTTCTAGTTCTGCCAAGTCCCTGTTTAACTTTCTAGTTCTGCCAAGTCCCTGTTTAACTTTCTAGTTCTGCCAAGCCCCTGTTTAACTTTCCAATTCTTCCAAGTCCCTGTTTAACTTTCTAGTTCTGCCAAGTCCCTGTTTAACTTTCTAGTTCTGCCAAGTCCCTGTTCAATTTTCTTGTTCTGCCAAGTCCCTGTTTAACTTTCTAGTTATGCCAAGTCACTGTTTAACTTTCTAGTTATGCCAAGTCACTGTTTAACATGTTTAACTTTCTAGTTCTGCCAAGTCCCTGTTCAATTTTCTTGTTCTGCCAAGTCCCTGTTTAACTTTCTAGTTCTGCAAAATCCCTGTTTAACTTTCTAGTTCTGCCAAATCCCTGTTTAACTTTCTAGTTCTGCCAAGTCACTGTTTAACTTTCTAGTTCTGCCAAGTCACTGTTTAACATGTTTAACTTTCTAGTTCTGCCAAGTCCCTGTTCAATTTTCTTGTTCTGCCAAGTCCCTGTTTAACTTTCTAGTTCTGCAAAATCCCTGTTTAACTTTCTAGTTCTGCCAAATCCCTGTTTAACTTTCTAGTTCTGCCAAGTCACTGTTTAACATGTTTAACTTTCTAGTTCTGCCAAGTCCCTGATAAACTTTCTTTTCATGTTTCAGTGTGGAATTGATGCCAAAGTCAATCAGAATAGACTGTCGGCCTGGATAGAGCGACACTTTGAAACTGATGATGAAGGTACAGACTATCTTGTGATGCTCTCCTATGAGTGAGATTGATGATGGTGATGTGGTTTTGATGATGGGATGTAATGTGGTGATTGTGGGAATTATATAATGTGGTGATAATGTGATGTGATGTGATGTGATGAGGTCATGATGATGTGATGTGAGGATGCGATGTTTGCTTGTTTAATGCCAAACTCAGCAACATTCCAGCTATATGAGGGGGCATGGGTGGCCCATACTTCTGAGGTGCCACATGATGATGATGATGATGATGATGATGATGAATAATGTGATGAATAATGTGATGTATGATGTAGTGATGGTGGTGTTATGATGATAATGTGGTGATGATGGTGATCTGGTGAAAAGACTTAAACTCTGCATGTTTCCTTTATAGTTGACTACGTGAGCGCCACCTTCCTAATGGACAGCATCCATGTATTCGAAAACCACGAAGATCCCACAGTCTTCTTCCGTCCGTCTCTCCGGTCTCTGTTGGTGAGTCCACATACTAGATGTATGACCTTCTCTGGGAATCTCTTCACCCTTCGTGAAAACATTTTTTAATCAGAGCTATGTTACAAGTTCAAGGAAAACCCCAAACAAAATTGTTTTTTGTTTGGCCTTGCTTGCATGTTATTGCTTGATAACTGACCAAGTGTTTTGTATTTGTTAGACAGCTTGACAATTGAAGCGTCTGGTGGTGGAAGGTGATGGTGGTACCTGGGATTGTATCTAGATAAAGACATGTTTTTTGGCCCCCAACACATTGTTTGTATCCTCCACTATATTCCTTGATTCTGTCTCTCACAGAAATGCCAGGCCAACCCCAGCATGGAATGGTCAGCATCTACTCGTGGGAACCTGCAAACTTAAAATGTTAGATATGTTTGACCAGCACATTGTGTGTATTCTAGTGTCACCACATGCTGATCAACCTGGACATTCGGACAGTGAAGGAGAGGGAGGAGGGGTGGCCAGCAGATGCCGCGGAGGAGCGGTCTTGTCTTGACCAAACTCTCACTATGTGCTTTGGGAAGCGGGACACGGAGACAGAGAGGAAGAACACAAAAGTGCTCAAGAAGAAAGGTAGGGAGTTTCGCATCTTTTATTTTTTTTTAAATCAAAAGTATTCCATTTTCAAGTTTACAAGTTTTCAAGAGATTCTTTCTTGAATGAATTAGATGTGAAAGTGCCTGTGTTTTTAGCTCTGTGAACCAGCCGCTTCCAAAATACCCCAAACAGGCATGTTCTTAATGTAAAATAAACAAAATTGTTGTTTTACCTTGTTTGGTAGAAAATCTTTTCTGAAATCTTGTACCACTCATACCAAATATTTCAACTGTAGATCTACTTCAATGACTTTTTCTGATTCCTTGCGGTTGAGCTTTCTGTCATAGAATCCCCCTAATGAGTTGGTCAACTTGTAGACAAGTGTTTAAATTGCTCTACCCTATTTTTATGTGATCACTGTGTTGACCCTATTCCTCAATTATTTTACGTAATCGTGGCAAGAAGTAACTTTGTTTTCAGTGTCAAATCTTTATACTATGTTACAAATGTGTATTCAAAATTCTCACATTTGATACATTAATTTTACTAAGCACATACATTACACAGCAATGTCATTATTGATGAAATTAGTCTAATCATGAACTCATAATACTTGAAATTGTATACTTCACCTTTCAGATTTATAATTGAGTAGAATTTAGTACAATGAAATATGTCAACCCTTAATGTTTCAGATGGTAAAAACATTTCTTGACTGTTTAAATTGCAAAAACATGATGCATACATATGTCATCATGATAATACAAAATTTCTTAACTCCAATCACAATCAAGTTGTTTTCATTTTATGTTTTTACGATTCAATAATATGTTGACATTATGTTTATTTGGAATGTATTATATTTTTATGTTATTTATTTTGCAGAACATTAATTTTATTTCTTGATAATCCACCCTTTTTCAGTTAACAAAGAGCTGTTGCCAAAAAGGGGTACTGGTTCGAATATAGTATATGTTTAGAGTATTGGTGGTTTTATATTCTGAACAAAATAAGCTGAGGATCGTGATATATTTTTGGGGATATTTTTTTGAAATTTTGTGCTAAGTCTTCACTACAAAATAAATATCCCCAAAATATTCATGTTCCCTAATTTGTTTTGTTTAGTATAGAATGTCTTGTGAAATGTTTTGTGACCACATAGTAAGGAGTAGCATCAGATATTTCGATGTGTTAAATGTCCTAGCCTCATGGTATTGTTTTCCTGTTTTAGATGATGATGATGATGATGTTTCAATTCAAAGTAAGAGGAGAACTGTAGGGTTCTGCTGTGTAGATATTTAACAGTAGTAGTAACACATGCACTTTGTAGAAGAAACATACTTACACTTATCTAAGGTGTAGATATTTACAACAATTAATCAACATCTGAATGACGTATCTATCGAAGTAGCAGTAGCTAATTGTGATTAGTTTTATTTAAAAAGAAATACCTTGTTTGTTTAAACATGTCCACACACAAACAATTTGTGATGGATCGTTTTCTCAACATATTTCTAATGTTGTATTTTGAAAGGGTAAAACACCCTTGATGTTTAATCATAGAGGTCATGCTCACAACAGAGTTGTCTTCCTTGGCTGTAGTTGGAGCAAGCTTCATGCCACGAGTGTTCGCCTCCCAGTGTAATAACTGATGCTAGTGTCCATTGCAAGAAATTTGTTCTTTTACTCTCCAAGCAAAATCTTGTTAAAATGTGTAAAATGTTTTGTTTGTTCAAATGTAACGAAACTGGGTATATGTGCAGTTGGTATTGGGGCTCAAGACTTGTGTTTTTATCTTTTGTGATATTTGAAATTTTGACCTTGATTTGACCTCTGCACTTAGCCCAAAGAGTAAGTTGAAACATCTTATGGCCCATTCCTAAGCCATTCTTTTTCAAAATGTAATGAAATTTGGTATATGTGCAGTTAGTAGTGGGGCTCATGTATTTTCCATTTTTTCACAATATATGTATTTTCATTTTTTACCTTGATTTGACCTTTGGCCATTACTCAGCCATTTCATATATGTTCCGTTTTTAGTGATATTTCTCAACTGACTTCATCATACAGCGGTATAATTATGTTAGCCAGCATTTTTAATGTACAAGTTCCATTCATTTTAGCGATAAGCAATATATGGAATATATGATCTATCTTTGACGATTTGAGTTATCTTCCAGTCTCATTAAAATGAGATCTTAGTTCTCGCTACCGCTAAACAAAGCTTTGTTTAGCATGTTTAGTGGTAGCGAGAACTAAGATTTGATTTTAATGAGATTCTAGTTGTATAGTGCACGCAAGAAAAGTACAGACATCCTTGATAATATTCAAACAATGTTAATAAAAAATATCCTTACAGTAAAAAATTGCTTAAACGATCTGTACCTGATTTTAATCTTTTTAAGACTGATATTTACAAAAATATGACATCTCAAATGATGGCTATAAAAGCTGCACAAAATTGTAATCTTTTTGTAGACAAAGATTATCTGATTCGGGAAAGTTTTTGGAAACAAATATGTGGGTACGTACTGAAGCATCTCATCTCTGTCACTTTTCATATTAATTAAGCACTCTGAGGGTTAAGGAAAGATAATTAAAAATCATTGTAGATGGACTAAATCAATCCAAATGCCTAATAGACCTTATAGCATGCTTAGTAGGCTTGGTAAGTGTAATTTGATTTCACCAAGTCAGCAGCTGGATAAATACAGTAGATATATTTCCCAGATGGTTCTTACCAATGTAGCGTGGTGGGATTCGAACCATGGACCTTCTGACCCAAGGTTGGATGCCTTGTCCACATGACAAAAGAGGTTACTCCATCAGCAAGCTGACAAAGTAAGGATGTCATCTGTGGGATGACTCCACGCCCTGCTACACACTCCCCCGTCAACAGAAGGCACGTCCCGGGTCACATAGTAGGGTACTGAGACTTATTTTGTTCTAATTTAATGAGCATGCTCAGCTCCACGTTAGACGAAGAAATTGTAGCAGCCATAAAATTTCCAAGTCCCATGTTGAGATTCGAACCACATACGTTCTGATCCAAAGTCGGACGCCTTGTCTACATGACCAACGAAACTGGACAAGGTAAGGATGTCATCTGTGTGATGACTCCATGCCCTGCTAGACACCAATGTTAATGTTAACAATCACATGATGACAAGATCTTGGCCCTCAAGCAGATCCAGGTCATGCATTTAATTATACAATAGGTGCTTCAAGAGCATGATGCACACTGCTGAAGGGTATTCACACGGTGGCTTATGGAAGTGTTTGGGCATGAACAGGCCTGTCCTGCCATATTAGATCAATATGGTCAACTTTGGCAAGGCATTGTTAAAATGATAAGACTCATGTGAAATACACCACTGATTTACCACTATCTTTTTAATTGAGCTGGTTTGTTTGTAAGTAAATAAAACAATTATGTCTACCAGTCATCTTTATGAAGAGACTAATCTATAAGATAATGTTGGGTGTGCTTTAAAGAATGATAGTCACAACAGGAAACCTTGCTTTGTTGAAAACACTAAGAACTATCTGTTTGATGCATTATCCCTTGCAAGCAAAGGGTTAATTTGATCGTGAATAATTTAATAGAATTATTTCATCAATGTTGAAATTCTCTTCCTAACATCAGACAGACATAACAAAACTAAGTATATTTGTTCAGTGTTCGAAATACCTGCCTGCCCGACCGTCCGAGACGGGTTGATTTCAACTTGGGCTGCCAGATTTTCAAATCCCCCTGCCCGACGGTCGGGTTATATTTCATATGTAAAAATATTCTAAATATTTCCGGATGATAAGCATTATTTACATGATGTATTCTAGGATATTAAATACAAATCTAACCTAAAAAAGTGTTTGCTATTTCTTTTCTTGCATTACTTCATGTTCTTCCCGAAGCTGTCTTAGCTTACTAAAGTCCATGTATGATAGGGATGTACATTATCACAGTACAAAGAGAGCTTTGAGAAACGGGGCCCAGGAATTTATGTTTTCTTTTTATGCACTTGGTTGTGTTTGTATTTTGTATTTTAAAGACACAAGAGTATGTTTGGTTACTTGTATGATATCCTGGATGGTTTTAGCTTTTTTTAAATGTGTAGTTGTTTGTTTTAGTTTTAGGCGACACTTTTTTTATTTCTTGGTTTACGGATTTCAAACTTATTTCAAAAGTGAGGCAGGCCAATTTAAAAAAAAAAAAAAAAAAGCCTCTCACATTTTTTTTTACTTGAATTTTGTCCTAAAAAGTTAGGTTGGTATGAAAAAAAATATCCTGGCGTAACAAAAGTCAAATAACTCAATTTTTCAAGAACATTTTATTATATCCCTGGCACTCAGCTTGTGCACAAATGGCAACATAATAATATTCATGTCATGGGTGGAAATGCATGAAAGACGCTGCTATTTTGGCAGCATGGGCAACGTTTAACTCTTTCAACACAAGCCAACCAGAAGATTACTGCTGTGACACCAAGTTCCCAGAGACTCTTGTGTGATAGGTGAAACCAACATTTATCAAGGAAATTATCTGCTGAAATTAACATCTTTGCTACTACATGTTTGGCCATACACTATTTGAAAGGTCTAATTAATCCTATTGTTTATAAATATGAAAGTTATGTGTATTACATTATCATAATTCATTAACAACTAAATAAAGTTCGTTTTAAATAAAAATAATGTAAGCTAAAACATTCATAACGTCCAGATTAAGGACCAATGAAGCGCAAATTTAAAGATTTTTTCGCCAAATATAAGAATTCATAAAATCCACATACCCATTTCTTTTTTATTTTCATTTGTTTACGCTGTTGGAACATTATTTTAAAAAGAATTACAAATAATATCTGTCATCACCCATTTCCCGATGATAGTGGCTGTCCGCTCACTAACATGATGAAATACCTCCGTTTTCAAAGCTTCGTATGAATAACACAAACGTCTAAGGCTGCCATGTCAGTATACATTAAAAAAACTTATATTGTTTCACCGACAAAATCTGCTACAAGGTTCGTGATTGGTCTAATTTAAGCACGTGACCTAACGCAGCCAATCCAAATACAGCAACGGTAATTTTCAGACTTTGGCGAAAGGTTTGGGTTAAATTATGTTATTCTGAACGGTTAAGCATGGAATCGCGATCTATATTAAAAATATGGAACTTTATGGATGTATAGAGCTAGGTTACGAGCTATGACAAAGATTTCTTATGCATATATTTTGGCATTAAGACATCGTGTCCGAGCCGAGAAATCGAGGCGACGAAAGGCGAGATGTCATTTGACTGACGATTACATGCGATCGCACGAAAAGTTGGAAATAATAACTAAGATGTCAGTTTGGCAACTTTTATAGATATATTTTTGAAGATTTTATTTCTTTGTAAATAAAGACGTTTCAGCACTTGAAACGTCTTTATTTTGCTGTTTGACATGTTCGATGAGGACCCGTTCTCGAAGTGTGTCCTAGAATATTTTCAATAACATTGCGGGAAATCGTGTCTAGTGAATACATTTTTAATCTATAGATAAAAAAATGATAAAATCAAATGGAATACGTATTTCAGACATTGTGAAATGTGATAGATTTAATAAATGAATGATGTGACAAGTAGGTAAATATAATTATAAACTATTTTGACGTGACTTGGACGGTCTACCGTGCGGTGTGACTTGTGGCTTTGAACGGCCAACAGTGTTGAAATAGTTAAACTGCATTCGTGAACAACTCGTGTTATTCCGGGAAATGCCGAATAGCGACTCGTGCCCCTCTCATGGCCATTTTTGCGACTGGGTTCCGTCTTAGCGCAAACGGGCATACCTAAAACAATTGTCAACTCGTTGCGTAATGGTTCTCATATATTACCCCATATATTATATATATTTCAGATGCAATTTAAAGCACATCGGGACGTGCGGAATTATACATTATGATTGAACATATTTAACTGTGTCTTGGGTATATTTTTAGGTGCAAGACATATGTAAAATCAAAAATTATTTCTGAGGGATTATTTGACAAAGAACTCGAAATCATACGCGCATTCTGATTGGTTTGTCGTATTTTCGCACATAACATTCATCGACAGGGGGACGAGTCTTCTTGCAGGTTACGGAAAGTGGCGAGTGGTGACGAATGAGTTAAACTGGTCACCACTGCGCTTTGCGTCGACAAGCTATGATGGTATTAGAGAAGGATCCCAGCAAGAAATATCAGAGTGACTTCCCTTTGCTTTACGCTCGACGA